CATACACGAGAGAGTCAGTGACCCCATATACACGATGGGTTCGAAGACAGGGAAAATGAGGCACATGTGACACTCTGAGCTAAAGATCCCTTGTCATCGCAGGACGATAAGAAGAGCAGGCATTCGGTGATTAGAAGTTTGTCCTGCCCTGTAGATAGGTCAAAAAAGGTTGTCTCTGAAAGTCACCTATTATGGGCAAGGTCCCTAAATCAAATTCTTCTAGTAGTTAAGGGAATGCAGAAGTTTCTCTTGAGCCTTTGGCTTCGGTGCCTTTGGCTCAAAATAATCCACGTATAAGAGAGGCACATCTTGGGGCGATTCCTTCTGAACCCTTACAAAAAAAGTGCTTCAATGTATATTTTTCTCTGAAAGTAACCCTTTTGTGGATCTTTCGGTGAAGAGAAGTATCTCTCCCTCCCCAAACTTGGATTCAAAAATTAAAGTGGTGGTTATTTCCAGTTAACACTGGCTGAGCCTTTCTTGAGAGCCTGGCACCAAGTACAGTTTACACACAATTTTTTCCCTTGAGTCTCATGACAACCCCACGAGATACATACTGTTATTACCTTCAGTTCACAGGTGAAGGGAAGAAGGAGGTGTAAGGAACTTGCCCCGTCACACAGCTACGATTCGGTTCCAAGTCTGTCTGACTCCAACACTCGTAAATTACTAACTGCTAAGCTACTCTGCCTTTCAAGTTTTCCTAAAGTAAGTGCAAAATTAAAATTATCCAGAGTCTGGTCTTTTCTCGATGAGCTGGTCTTGATAGTTGATGTTATGGCGGTGTTTGCTCCTAGACCAGTGCTCAGAGCAGACTAACCACTTTGCTGTAGGATCAGTGGCATTTTGGGGAAATCGTGGAGGTGCCACTCCCGGGCAGGCTGATGGGCACAGCTCAAAATCCATATCAGAGCTGCCTCCTCCTACATGGCTGCAACGCACCAGGCTTGCTGACAATTTCTCCCTATCAATTAGCCTTGACGACTGCCTAGTTTTTCTTTATCATATTTCACGCCTCTATCTTTAAAAAGAGTGGGCTCCATTGGTAACAAAGCTCTTAACGTATTCTAAAAAACTTTGAGGGACAAAAATGTAAACTTTTGGGTACAAAAAGGACCTTCGTTGTACAAACGTACATATCATATAAATTCATCAAATCATAATTATATATATATGTATGTGTTATTTATAGATGCATTTAAATATAAGTATTTACATATTTATATAAAATCCAAATAAGTAAATAAATGAAACTATGCAAATAGTTACAGCTCCCTCCTGTGCTCCGTCCCCAGCCCCTGGCTTTCTAGTTCCCTAAACTGTCCTCTTGGGGCAGTGACATAATTCTTGTTATCTGCCTTGATCTATTTCTCCTGATCTCAGTTGTGAATGACAAAGAAACGCAGTCGGCAGGGCACACGGTAACCTGTCAAGGGGTTTCCAAGGGGACTTTCTTTCTCACTTGGACTGCTTTGCCCGCCATCACGTTACATGTTTCCGAGGGTTCCTGGTTCGAAGACAGGATAAGCCAGAAACCAGGAAGGAGCCCCTGGTGCTCTGGTGTGAGAGTGAGTGTGCCATCTGTGATTCGATGGCAATTCTGTTTCCCATGCACCGTGATACAAATGCACTGATGATGAAATGTGGACCTCTGGACCCCTGCCTTTCCCTCCTCCTGTCCAGTCTCTTTCTTCTCACCCTGCAGCTTCTTTTTATGCCTGTCGGCTTTTTTCTTTTTCTTTTTCTTTTTTTAATAAGCAGCTAACATTTTTTGAGTGCTTACTACATGCCGTGCAGTGCCAGGAGCTGTTATAATCACTTGACACCTGTTAACCCTTCTAATTCTCACAGCCGTATGAAAAGACACGTTTGTCACCCCCTTTTTACAGCAGTGACATCGGCCCAGACCGTTAAGGAACTTGCGCAAGGCCGCACAGCTTCGAAACTGTCATCAGCCTTGATCTCTTTACTTCTTTTAAATTATCGATCGTTTTAATACTCGTTCTTAGAGAACGCTGTAAATGATCAATTTTCTCAGGTTCCCCGGAGTGGAATATTTTCCTGGGAGTGGGGAGGGGACGCTTAATAGGCTCCCTGAGTTTGGAGGCTTATCTGGTAAAAGGTGGACCCCTCATTATCAGGGACGTCGTAGCAGAGAGCATTAAAAGACGAGACTATTTTCACGAGGCCGAGGCCATGAAAGGGGCTCGAATTAGAATGTTCTGCCAATGGATTCTATGCTTTTTTTTGAGTGAGATGTTTTAAGTCATCTCCAAGCCTCAAACTGATGTGTTTTTTTCAGGAATGGTTCAGGTTCAGGATTTGGGGATGGAGGAGAGAGAATAGAAATCACCAGACCACCTTCAGATCCGTTTTGGAATGTGACAAGTTTTTATAAAACCAGACCAAGAAAGAAACCACGCCCCCCCCCCACCACCGCTCCTCCCGACCCCAACCCACCCCACTCTGTACACTGACCTAGAGCGAAGATTCTTCTTCAGAGGTCCCCCTCCTGGGCCACTGTGGGACGCCTGGATGACTTTTCCTTGGAACAGAGCCTTGTGTCAACAAGGAAGTCTATTTGGAATAGATCTTCACGGAGGTCAGTCGATTGACCTATGAGTGTCAGGTCAAGCTGTGAGGGCCACATGGGGGTGAGCGGAATATTGTCTCCAATGGAGAATGGGACATGCACACAGAGGAGGCATGCTCTGGTTTCTCCGGTGGCCAAGTGCATTTCCGAATGCCGGGTGGCAGTGTCGTGCTTATAGCGCTGTGACCTGTGCCCTCCTCCAGGGCTGCCTGCAGTTTCGCCTCTTGTGAATGCAAATCCTAGCAGGGGGTGGCGGGAACGCAGATGTGCCCTTGACGAAGGCCGTGGGCAAGAAGAGGGGCTAAGGTTGCTGGCCTTAGTGGGGGCGGTGGGAGCGCTGGGTCAGGGACCAGCTCGAAGCTCTCAGAACGCAGAGCGCAGAGCGGGATGCGCGGCGCGGTGCGGGGCAGGGGCGCGGGGCAGGGTGGGCGCGCCCAGGCCGCACGGGGTAGGGTAAGCGAGCGTCCGGGCACGTACGCGAAGGTGTGCGCGGCCAGCAGAGCGATCACACCCACAGCAGCCCAGGTCCTTATCACTACGGGTCAACAGTCAGGGCACTGGTGACAGAGGGGACTGGAGAAGCGCGTCGCGGGGTGGATCCCACCTCCGCCTGGGGGCGTTGGGGGGTCTGTGAGGAGCGACGTCCAGACACGCCTCCTCTTCCCAGCAGCTCCCTGCTCCGTCCAGTTCTAGGGGGACAGACATCGGCTGGCGGCCACCTGCCGCGGGAGGCCCGGGACGCGAGGGAGGGGGAAGAGGCCACCGCGGGAGGCGGCGTGAGGTCTCTTGAGATACGGC